CATATTTGTTTTGTTCAAAAATGAAGGCTAGGTAAACCGAACCTTATCGTCGTGGGACTTATCGTTTGGTGGTCTAATTTTACCTCTATACCTGTTTAAAGAAGATGCAGTTTTGTACCCATTGCAAGTAGCTATTTTCCGTGCTGAGTTCAGGGGTTCTACCTTATGCTCTGTGAATGCATAGGCGGCTACTCGAAACATCCTTCTCACAGGCAGCCTTTTAATGTGTGAACGGTTAGAGGAGAGGTTAAATGCCATTATTTTTTGTTGCATGATTGTCGGCAACATTTGGTGGTGTAGCGTATTGATGAGAGATTGATGTGACCGTTTGTAAACAAATAGTGGCTTTCCTTCAATTTTTCTCGCCTGAACTCTAATTACTTTGACTGCTTGTTTGGCAGCAAAACACTTGTTTATTCCCTCTTGTGTTGAGCAAATCACAAAGCAGTCGTCGGATACCTACAGGAGAGGGGACAGAAGGCTAAGTGGCGGGCTTCAAGTTTAAACATGAACGCAATGAAAAAACTTAGTGCTAGGCGCTGCTCCGTTGTCCTCCAATTGAGCCTAGTATTCCGCACTATCCCAAAGTTAGACAGTTTAGGTAGTCCTATAAGACGGTCATGGTCTGTTAGATCGAGACCACACATTTTTACTGCCCCTTCATGCTACACAAGTACCTGCGGATGGTTTTCATTGCAGGGTCATCCCGCACGTTAATATCAAGGGTGATAATGTCAGAGGATTCCATCGCGTAAGAGTTGTTGAGATGCGCATCACGCAGAGAATCCAGGGGCATTTTGATATTCGTGAGATGAACTAGGATGTGTTTCAGCAACGGAACGAGTATTAGGTATATGAACCAAGCCATTTTATTCGAACGAATGTCCATACAACGGATGACGGTTCCAATTTGAACGTTGATGGATCGGTAGACGCATTATCGTCACTAGATACTAGCTTATCAGTTTTTACGAGTAAGTACAAGGCGGTAGGCGGTGATAGGTCAATCTTAAGCAGTGAAATAACTTATGGTTTTAGACCTGCCGCGCTGGCTACTTTGCCACATGTTCCGGTCTTAATTCTCAAAATCCTTTTTAAATGGTGAGGGATGTAGGGCAACATCTTAGAGATGTATTTCTGTTATTTTGATTTTTGATTGACGAGGAGCTACTACAGATGCTCCGTTTTTATTATTAATTGAGAGCTCAAAAGTTATTGATTTTATTTGAAATCCAACCTGTTGCATACTATATTTATATGTTGCTGTGAAGTTGGAACCGAGCCTTACAATGTGACAAAGATCAAAAATCTTGAAGATTTCGCCCGAAAATCTGCGAAAAATGGTATCAGCTTCGTCTATGAGTTTTTGGTGTATAAAGGGCGCTCAAAAAAGAGGTGGTGCCAATGCCCCTACTTCTTGTTTTTCGTTTCATGGAACAAATCAAGTTTAGCTTTATGGAGGAGTGAACCATGAAGCTGGGGAGAATGTATGCGATCCGGAGAAAAATTCTTTCTGAATTTGGCTACGGTAGTGAAAAGCTTGGGTCCAGATTAGCGAGTTTGTGTCTTCAGGAATAGACATGCCTCTAGGAACGCTAACCCTTTGTTTTGAAGGGAAAAAAAGGTGGCGAGATCTACATCCTATTGAACGGGTCATTTTCGCTCCTCAGTTTTTCGAAAATCTGCCTAGAGCTGAAACGTTTATTTTCAACACTAGTTCGTCAAAAGCAGAGTACCTAAGATTGATCAAATACGTCAGTTGAGTTTTTTTGGGGATTCGTTCATATGTAACTTAACAACAAAAACAATAACAACTAGTCTTTAAATACGATCTTCGTTTTTAGTTTTGAGTTTTTGTTTTTATACGCAAATTAACAACAAAAAGAGCAAAAAAATAACCTACAAAGTATAAACCACCATAGTCTACGACTTTCTGCCATTGTTCAGTTAGATCCCGGATTTGCTCGAAGCAGCATTTCGATTCTTTTTGAATGTTGCATTGGCCCAAAGAGGCCATATTGAATCAAGCGACGTTTGGCTTCAAAGTCAAAAAAAGCAAATCATACTGTTCAGTAGGTATTTTGGAGCTGAAATCAATGCATTGGATATTTGAATAGCAAATTATTAACAAAAGACGAGACAAAGATGTCAAAAAAATTAAACTTTTGAAAAATTCTCGGAACCTTTTGCTTAAACTTATACTACGAATTCTCTTCGGTGGTAGTATTTCTAGCTTTCCCCATTCTCAAAAATGTCGGCATTTTACCAAAGATTCTCAACTTTATTGAAAAATTTATAAAATTTTCTCTCTGAATAAACTTCCGCACATACTGATGAGATAAATTGCATCAAAATTGACTAAGAGATCGGAAGCTGTTGAAATTTCGATAAATGTATAGTTACAGACCATTCCGTCTCATTGTGTGCATAGATGGAACAGGCCGTATAGCAAATAATTCTCGCGAAGGATGGCATATTGGCTCCATAAAGTAGAAAAATTCACAACATAAATATTTTGCTTATTGTCTCAGGCAAAGTGGATGAACAATGGGATTTGCTCATTGTTAAACAACGGGTAGTGTTAGTTATGTCAAAAGTGCACACTCAAATCAGTATAAAAATGGAGCAAATCTACAAAATATACTTATTTTCCAGAGCTCTTATTATTTCACCGGAGATTTTCTAGACGTGGCTTCGTATAATTAGGTTCCAGGATGAGAGTTATTGTACTACTTGCATTTATGACTAACACAGCTCGAGCGGCGATAGTTGTTAGCTCACGAAGAGGAATCAAAGAATCCCTCGGCGAAGACAATTTCGTAGAGAAGCTGAAAGAGGGATATAATTTGCTGAAAAACGTGAGGATCTCTCGTGAGCTCCATGCCTTTGAATTCTTCTAGTCATATGATCATCTGTTCCTGGAACTGTTTCCTTATATTAGGATACAAATGCAGCAGCCACAATGGGACTTCTCAAGCGACTACACAATTTGGAGGACGAATCAAAGGAAGAATTCACTCTACCTTCAGATTATGACGGTGCATCAGTGAATTTCAAGAGGGTGAGTGTATCATTTCTCATTCGAGAATAGATCAAACAACAATGTGAGTTCTTTAGCACTACATGGAAAGGAGAGGTGATCACACCCGAGTAGTTGGTGATACAATCGAGGAAACCAATATGAACAGTAATGTCGCCATGGCGCTTTTCCAAGGCGATATTATCCTCACTAAGTTCGTTTGATTTTTGAGATAAGCTCATCATTAGTTGCGCTTTTCATGCGGAATTTATATCTTTAGAGAACAAGCTGACGAGATCATGATGGACATTAAGGAAACCGGTGGCAAACGCAATAAACGACAAGCATTCCGTGACTGGAGTTACCCTAGAAGCTTGTGGTCGAAGGCAGCGCATTATTCGTTCCATTCGAGCGCAAGTTTGCTTTTTAGGATCCTTTCTCCATCAAAATGTGATGGGATCGACAATTACAAGTTGCATAATTTCAGCCAAGGATGCCAGAAGAGTGTTTAGGAAAGCTGCCTCACTGTGGTCCGCAGACACTTGCATTGATTTCAAGGAGAGCAATGCAGGTAGGAAAAAACATGACGGAATTGACTTTAAATTGCTTACTCACTCAACAATCAACTTTCTAGCTATTCATAGAATCAATGTTATACGAGGTCAAGGTTGTTGGTCGAACGTTGGAAGAGTTGGAGGCATGCAAGCTCTCTCACTTGGGCAAGGATGCGAATCGGTTTGTTTGAAGAAATTTATCCATCACGAATTTGCGGTTTAACAAGACTTCAATTCTAACAGATTGGTGAGTCATAATAATATCACCGTATTACAGGTTGGAACGGCTGCGCACGAGATTGGGCACGCATTAGGTCTCTCCCATACACAGACGAGACACGATCGTGACAAATTCATTACTCTTTATACCCAAAACATACTGGTAATTCTGAATTAAACACGTAGCATATGCATGTGTTATGGCGGGTCTGAGATTTTAGCCCGGCTGGTACAGCCAATTCATAAAGCAAACGGAACGCACCAACTACAACTATAATCTAACTTACGATTATGGAAGTATTATGCATTATGGAGCAAAGAGGTCTGTCCAACTTTGAATGTATCAGTTCAAGATTGCAATAAAGTGTTTAACATTCTGATTCCAGCGTCTCGAAGAATGGGCGACCCGTCATGGTTCCACGTGATGTTAACTATTTGCAAACCCTTGGGTCTCACATGATTTCATTCTACGAGAAACTCATGATCAACCTGCATTATGGATGCCTTGGTGAGGAGAATCTAGCATGACCATTTGATACCGCGCTATACATGCTGACATTTTTTGCTCAACGATGAAATAATCTAGATAAATGCAAAAGAAGTTCGTCGGCCTCGTGCGAGAATGGTGGTTTCCCACATTCCAGAGACTGTTCTAAATGTATTTGTCCTACTGGATATGGAGGAAAACTTTGCAGCCAAAGAGTAAGGAAGTTCGAAATTTGGGAAGCTTTTCTTTGAAGCAAACAATAAGTGCACATATTGCTTTCCAGCCAGCTGGCTGTGGTCGAACACTCGTCGCTACCACATCCTTACAAACGCTTAAGGATACAGTGGAAACGGGAAGAAGAAGCGATAACTTCACTGTGTGCAATTACTGGATTGAAGTACGATATGTATAGCCACCTAAAATTTTTTCTCATCTACCTACTTTCAGTGGTGAAGTAACAAATTTTTTCCAATAATTTTGAGCGATTAGCGAGACTCTGGACGTCGGACGAAACGCGAACCCGCATTTCGCTCTTTTCCGGAAGCAAACTCTAATGATTGCACTACCGGCGTTGCTGCTCTGCCATCAGTCTTTCATATATTCGATATATGTCGGCGTTTCTGGGTTCAATGGCGAAATCGGATTGCCAGGCCAAACCGATGACGGTTGGTTGCTAACAAATCGATGCGCTGCGCCGCAAAAAAGTAATGACAGAACAGAAGAGACGGTAGTGGAGTGGTTAGCACGCGTCCGTGGAAAGGATGAAACGCGCGTTGAAATCCCGCCCGACTTGCAAAGTTTTGCACATCACTCAATATTGTTGGATATATGAAGTATGTTAGTCCAATTCGCTCTAGTATTATAGTTAAAGAAGTGTTTTTCAAGGCACCAAATGGTTCAACGATCGAGATAATTCTCGATAGCTTCACGAAAGGTATAGGTAGTGACGGTTGCACACACGCAGGAGTTGAAATCAAAACAGGAAAAGATAAGCGGCGAACTGGTTATAGGTGAGCATCTACATGTGGAGTTTGGAACGATACGCATCATATCATTTAGATTTTGCACTCCGGATAATATCGGAACGTCGTTGATCTCCTCTCATAGCATCGTCCCTGTGATAACTTACAGCAGACTCTATAAAACCACAACCATTTTACGATTTCGAATCGGTAATGTGTAGTTCAATAGACGCTCGTAATGGATTGCCCATAATTATACTCAAGCAAATTCTTGCAGTTTCCTCTGCTACGGAGACTTCTCAAGTAAAGTCTCGGTCAACTGATTCGACTCCCGTGTCAACAGATTCGCCGAAATCCGATTGCCTAAGCAGTCTTGTGTATGTATTGATGATGTAATATTCCTTCGACACTTCTGCAATGGTTGAACATTTTTAGGTGCAATGCATTGATGAAATGGGATTTTTGCCGTTCTGAGAGATACGATGAGAGCTTAAAAATGTTGATCTGCCCGAAATCGTGCATGCCATGTTACTAATTGTATGCTTTTCCTCAAAAAAAAAGCATTTACATCGTCCGCTTTTTCATATTAGTCTGTCAAATTCAAACATACGTGCATGCATAGTTACATATATACATACATATCCCATCCCCTTACCCTTTAGGGACCATGAGGGCCATATTGATGCTCGCCGTGCGACATGAGTCTCACTCAGTCGATGTGATAGCAGCGTCGTGTTTCGTGGGAAAGCAGTCAGACAGCGAGACATGCATGCACAGATATACAGAGTCGCATGCCTGGCCCCTTATCTGACTGCCGAGCACGACGCCTTCTGCCTATTAACGTTGGTCCTCAAAAGGTTAGAAGTACGCATAACATACAAAATCTTCTCTCAATACGTAGCGCAGTTAAAAAGGAATACTTTCTGACAGCACATTTCAAGCCTTTCTTAAGGTCTATTATGGAACCTTCGAGGTTACGCTTCGGCTCTCTGGCCTCATCAGTAATACGGTGCCTTTCGGTTAAGAAAATTCCTTATAGGAGAGTACATCCCTTAAGTACAAGGAAATCGACGCCGAATTCGTTACACTGCTCGCGAGTTGAAAAGATCACCCTCTACTGCAGTGATAACCAATCACTTCATGTCGAATGATGAGATCACCTGACATTGCAATGATTAACAGTCGATTGCTCATGGCTCATAAATTGAACATCGTCCTTATATTCGACTGTTTTCTGAGAGCGCGCTTAAACCTAGTACATTCGAACAGTGTATTTTATAAGTTTTATTTCAACCAACTCCTAAGATTCGTGGATACTAAACATCAATTCATCGTACTCGATAGTATTCAATAATGGTGGACAAGCGATGACAAGACCGAAAAGGTACTACCTCTTCCCTCAGCTTGTCTAAATCCCGCCACGACCTGCGGTCAAAAACGCAGGAGCGCTGTGCCATGTCAACCGCCAGCGCCACATATATAAGTAGGTCGCTAGAACCACGTCGTATTTCAAGCGAGTTTGGAAATTGTCGACAACATATGTACTTTCGTCAGCCTAAGATGGACTGGGTTTCCCAGTGTTTTCAAACATGATTTCAAATAGATACTCATAAGAGATTAGACAGACTGCTAAAGGAATGAGAATATTGGAAGTAATGTAATGGCAAAAGTCTATAAAATGAAAATTTGCTTCAACCTTTTGTGAAAGACGAACAAGCGTAAAGAAAGACCATGTAAAGTGTTCTTTTGAATTAATTGGCTCAATATTACCATAAAATAATTTGTTTTACAAATCTCCCTCGGAAGGGATCCCGTTTCGGTCAGTTTTGGTGTCGCTTCTGATGTAAAAACCTCTTGAGACGCGCGCAAAATTTTGTCTGCAAACTACTTCGTAACGTGGCAGCGACTGATTAAGCTTCGTAAAGTTTATCAACATCTTGAGTTATTTCGCTTCTAGCAAGCCTGATCAGTAGCAGTAAATGAGCTGTCGGGATGCATAAAATTCAAAGTGAAGTTTCAAAACAGTCGAAGATAAAGGTTATATTCAGTTTTCCATAGCAATCGACTGTTAATCACTGCAATGTCAGGTGATCCACCACCTCATGTGCAGTGTAAGATGTTGGGCGTCGATTTCCTTATATGTAGGGTATTGAGTAAAGCGAAAGGCACGTGCTACTAAGGAGGCTATAATAGCAGAAACGTAGGTGTATCACTAAAGCTACCATAATAGACCTTATAAAAAAAGTAAGTATGCTACCGGGATGCATTTAATTTCAAGCGAGGTCTTAAAAAACAGTCGGATATAAAGAGAAATGTCTGGATAGTATAGCCTGGTAAAGTGAAAAACTCAAGAAAAAGAGAAGTATAGAAACACGATATTCGCTAGACGTAATAGGCAAAATGACTGGTGGGCTCACGGTATCCGGTGTCAATGGTTGAGAAGAAAACTTGTCACTATGATGGCTTCTACAGTTTCAATCCGGGCAGTGAGATGGAAATGAATGATCGATCACCGTGAATCAAAGATCTAAAAATCCTAACGTTTGTAGCTAAAAACTTCCACTCAGAAAATCGGGGAGGGGGTCGAGGATGCGTACACCACTAGCATAGGCTGCTCCAGCATAGGTCAATAGATTTTGGATGACGTAATGCCTGCCTAATTTTTCGTTTACATCCCTATTTTAGATGTAGTACATTCAAAATATGTGTTCAGCAGTGCTTTTGTACTAAAAGGCATTTCATAGAATAAGTTAAAAAGAAAATCGACGACTATTGATGGTGAATTACGAAATGGAGTGGAGTATATCGAAGAGGAACATCAAGGAACCACCCTTCCAAAAAGATTCTTGTCCTCTTTGTTTTTATTACTTATGAAAAGCCAGTACGGTAAGAGAAGAGATACTTCAACTATTCTGGTTTTATCGATGAGCTAAGAGGTGGTTTTCACAAATCATTTTCATTACGGATGACGTTTTCGTGGCTTCGCCTCCATAATAGCCACGATATTTTATGTCAAATGTCCACAGCAGTTATCCCTGAGATATTATCTTTGTAGTTATCAAATAGAGACGAGTTGAGTAGAGTATGATCACCGAACGAAAGGCGAGTGAACTCAGCGTTTCTCTTTCACAAGAACTCTAGTCGTGCTGAGGTGATCTAGCATCATTCGGTAGCTTTCCTGGATATAACAGGGTCCTTGGGTATTGTTATCCGTAATGAGAATGATATTATTTGCTCCTCAGCCCATATTCCATCCTGCAAAAGTTTGTTTAGTATTAACTGACATACGTAAGAAAACACTGAATTTAGAATTTCCTTTCACCTCGCTGAAAACGACCAATATTCTTCTTGTGTCGATGAGCTAACACGAGGTCGAATGAAGCCTATTATTGGCTAACGCTTCGTCGCTCTCGCCTTCATCAACGTCTTGACGATTCGAGTTGAATGTCAATAGCAATTATTCTTCGGATGTTGGTCTTCCTAGTCGTCGTATCAAGGCAAATCGAGTAGAGGGAATCATTGCACAGATTGAAAGCCTACCCAACTTGTTATGTAATGAGATAGATAGGACGATGAGTGTCAGCATCAGAATGGAAACCTCCTCCACATTTTCACGGTGTGATCCATGGAGTGAATGACTATTATGGCGCGAATGAATATTGTCGGCGACCTCCAGTCAGTCAGTCAGTGATTTTCGCCAATCAAGTGCATTTCTCAGCAATAGCAGATAAGTTTAGAAGAACGAAAAGCGTTCAACGTTGCCTCACTAATATGTGATCCATTGAGTATGGTCGAACTGAATCAAGGCTTAACTTGAAGATACAATGGTTGACGTTGTCTTCATATAACAAGTCAACGTTTTTATCCCCCCAGATGACTCTGGCACTGTTTTGTCGAGGTCGTTGCACGAAAAGCTTAAGGACTGGAGCGTTAAATCGAACTGCGACTGATCCAATTCATATTGTAGAGCACGTATAAGCACTGCGCAACACGCGCTCCCTCTAAATCCTTCCAAGAAAGGTTAGTAGGTAAAATAATAAGTGGTCAAAAAAAAAAACAATTTTTCAAAGTAAAGCAATGATTTAAATATGTTCTTCAAGATCGATTGCTAGGGTTTCGCCGACTTCATCTTCCTCAGAGCCGTTTTGTTAAGTGTAGTAATCAAAGACATTTCAGTACTTTATTTTTCAATATCGTCCTTTCTTTTCCCATAGAATAAAAAATGGTTTTTGTGACCTTTGAAATGTTTGAAACTCATGTATTCTATAAGGCCATACGGTCACAATTCAAATCAGTTTTTTCTTCAGTTTTAGATTGCAGACTATGTGCTGCCTTATTTTTCTTTTGTTATTTTCAGCTATTTACGGAAAGTTTATTTGACCTTTTTTATCGTGTTTGATTTCATTCGGAAGCTCGTAATCTCGAGATTCCAAATATGTAAGCCATTTTATTTTTCAAAGCTGTATTAGAATCTTGTTATTGGGTCGGCAATCGAGTTTTGGTCGTAATTTTTTTGTTATTTTTGTATATTTACAATACATTTAACTCTTGACTCCTTCCATCGTATTTAATGTTATTCAAAAGCTTGCAATTATAAGATATTAAATATGTGACCCATTTTATTTTTGGTAGCTGCTTGAAATTTTCCTTTACTTTACGATGAGCATTTCAAAAATTGAACAGTGAACGTTCCTTGAACGTTCCACTCGGATCATCTGCCACCGAAGCGGCACAAAACTACGTAGGCCACTCAATCGCAAGGCGGTTGATCTACGATTTACACAAAGATGTTTCAAAAAGTTTAGTGAAGACTACACTAACACGTCAAAAT